GTGTGTGTGTGTGTGTGTGTGTGTATGTGTCCGTAAACTTCAAGGCCTGTCTATATTCTAGCCTTCCATCACCGTCCTCCCAGCCCCTATAGCTCCGAGGAATGAAAACATCATGACCATTTCTTCATTTACTGCTCGCTACCAACGTCAGAAACCAGGGTCAGCCTCGTCCAATCACCGATGTAATAACTCTCAAATTGTAATGACTAGGAGGAGGAGGGGGGGGGGGAGAGAGGGAGAGAGAGAGAGGGGGAAAAAAGGGGGGGGGGGGGAGGAGGAGAGGACGAGATATTCCATCGCTGGCTGGTGGTAGTTAGAAAGAACGAAGAAAAAAAGAGAGACGAATACAATGAGAAAGAGAACTTAGAAGAAAGAAAGACAAAAATATAGAAAGACAAAAAGAAATGAAAGAAAGAAAGAAAGAAGGACGAGGGAAATAAGACCGGAGAAGAAAGAAACAAACAAAGAAAGATAGGAAGGCAAGAATGAAAGAAAGACAAAAAAGAAAACAAGATTGAGGAGAAAGGAAAAAAGAAACAAACAAACGAACGAAAGGAACAAAAACGAAATTAATATAAGACTCTTGATTTGTAATGACAGCAAGGAGGAGGGGGAAGAGGAGGAGGGGGAGCAGGAGGAGGAGGAGGGAAAAGGAGGAGGAGACGAGAGAGAGTCCTTCGAGGACTGGTGACAGTTAGAAGATCGTATTGTGCGGACTTTGTGACTCTCCTCAAAGCCTGCTCGTCGTTTTCCCTGATGTAATTATTGATTGCCCTACTGTGGCTGCGGTAGTGGTGACTCTCCTTAGTGGTTTTACAGCACTTGCAACACAATAAGGTCATGTAAGTGCCGAAGATTAGAGGTGTTACAAGGGAGTAACAAACACAGAAAAGGAGGGGAGATTAAGACGATAGATGGTTGATAGGAAAGAAGAAACAAACCACACCAGAGCATCCGCCAACCACCCATGGGGAGAGAGAGAGAGAGAGAAAGAGAGAGAGAGAGAGAGAAAGAGAGAGAGAGAGAGACATATTATGAGAGAGTGAGTGAGAGACATATATAATGAGTGAGAGAGAGACATATAGTGAGATAAATATATACAGAGAGAGAGAGAGAGAGAGAGAGAGAGAGAGAGAGAGAGAGAGAAAGAGATAAGAGGTTGAGTTGAGGGTGGAGGATTAATGATGTGTGTCTGTGGTATATACGGTCAGTCCGTCCCTCCCCCCTCCCCCCGCCCTGACTCTGACCAAAGCCATCAGTCTAACCTCGTTATTTTGCCATCAACACCTGCTAGCGACCAGCGCCAAGATTGACCCGGACAAGACAATTCGATCTCCTCTGTTCCTCCGTTCCTCCGTTCCTCCGGGGGCGAGCGAATACGACAGTTTTGTTGTCTCCCCTTCTTCTCTCTTTCTTCTCTTTCTTCTCTTTCTCTCTTTCTCTCGGTTTTTTTATTTCTTCCCTTTCTCTCTCTCTCTCTCTCTCTCTCTCTCTCTCTCTCTCTCTCTCTCTCTCTGTGTGTGTGTGTGTGTGTGTGTGTGTGTGTGTGTGTTCAGTCGTAACGGTGGCGTCGGTGGCCTTGTGGTTAGGATACCAGGCCTGTAATCGCGAGATTGCGGGTTCGGGGATTCGAGCCTCAGCTCGGTCCGACGTTGTGTCTTTGGGAAAGGCTTTTTACACGAATTTCCTATTTGGCTCGTTCCTTTCGGAGATAGACGTTAAACTCAGAGCTCCCTTCTCTTAGATAACCCAACAGTGGTGTTAGGGGCGTTCAACGTACCATTTCTCCATTGGCAGCAGTCCTACTAAAATTAAAACTCTAATGACCAAAGTTGGGTCGATAGCGCCGTAAAACACCTACTCAATCAATCAAAAAATCATTAAAGCTTTAAAAGTTAATCTATAAAATCGTTCTTCTCTCTCTCCCTGTCCCCAGACGGAACTGTCGCAAAGCCAACATGTACTATCTGGATGAGGGCAGCACCACCAGGAACGCCAACTGCGCCTGTATTGATGGCTATCACTTCCCTAACGAGGACCAGAGGGCCTGTTTTTCCAACCCCATCTGTCAGAAAGGTTATGCGCCGGGCATGTATGGTGAGTTTGTTTGTGTGTTTGTTTGTTTGCTTGTTTGTTTGCTTGTTTGTTTGTTTGTCTGTTTGTTTTGTTTGTATGGTTATTTGTGTGTCGGGGTGTCTGAATAGGGACCAGAGGGCCTGTTTCTCCAACCCCATCTGTCAGAAATGATATGCGCGGGGCATGTATGGTGAGTTTATTTGTTTGTTTGTTTGTTTGTCTGCCTGTATGTTTGTTTGTTTGTTTGTCTGTCCGTTTGCCTGTGTCTGTTTGTCAGAGGACCTGATGGCCTGTTTTTCCAACCCCATCTGTCTGAAAGGCTTTGCGCCGGAGATATACGGTGAGTGCACCTAGTGTGTCTGACTGTTTGTTTGGGGGGTTTTTTTGTCTGTCTGTCTGTCCATGTGTCTGTGTCTGTTTGTCAGAGGATCAGAGAGCCTGTTTCTCCAAGTGAAAGATTGGCGAGTGCTCTGGTGTGGTTTGCTCCTTCTTTCCTGTCAAACATCCATCATCCTGATCTCTCCTCCTTTTTTGTGTTTGTTACTCTCTTGTAACACCTCTAATCCTTGGCACTTATATGACCTTATTGTGTTGCAAGTGTCGTAAAACTCTTACTAAAACTAAA